CCCCCCCCCCCTCGGCTTTTTTCAATTTGATGTTCCTTCCTCTCTGTGAAACCTGAAGTCAACTAAAGGGCTAATGATTACCATCAAGTCGCCTGCCATTTGATATAAATAAATATGTAGTAAATGGACTCGGTTTCTTAAATTTTCTTTAAAATGGGAACGACATTTATTGCCATAATGATTTGTTATCCTTCCCAATAAATGTGCATTAATGGGTAACCAATATTTAGATTTTGCCAATGGCCATTGCTCAACGATTCTATAGCTTTAAAGAGTGGTCTTTACTGCTTTGGAAAATTCGTGTTGTTTTTTGGTGTTTTTTTTCTCGTGTGTACTGGTATATCTCGTCCTGTAAACCCTCCTTTTTTCCTCATTGGAATGCGTGCTGGCCTGGTGCATTCATTTTATCCCTAACCCCCCCCCCACCCCCCCCCTCATCTTTTCTTCGGGGCCTGGAATTGAAAACAGGTCTTGCAATTGGAAATCACGTGCTCTTCTATGGGGGTTCAGGTAGAAGAAGGAATAACGGACCAAAGAAACGATGTGAAAACAGAGGACAATTGGGTATTTGCAACCATGAAATTTCACCTTTACGGATTTACTTTTGACAGTTTTCAAGGTTTCGATTTTGCTACTAGTTTGGCTTGCCTTGTTCAGATTGCATTCACCTCATTGCTTCAAGTAAGAGTAAATATATTTAATAATTCTGAAAAGCGTTCGATACTGCAATTCTTTTACTCAATTAGCGTCACATAATCAACGCATTTCGAGTGGTCTAATTGGTATGGCTTTTCCACACACTGTGGAGTTTTACAAATAAAATTTATAACAAAAGTAGTAGTTGCTTTGCCGAGGAACTTAACAAGTAAATCTGTCATTTGAAACTAAACGCTCTATTTATTTGCCGACGTAAAAAATCGTATTCAGTTTTTTATTCCTATGATTGACAACACTTCGCGTTTTAACAGCAGAAAAAGACAAAAAAAGAATGCATTTTCAGACTTATGGGATAAATTCCATTTTAAAGAAAAAAGATGCATTAACAACTATCGTTTTGGTAGACCTCTTTTAAATCTCATGGATTTGGGGGGTTTTGATGATTTAACTCAAATAGTTATTTGTTAAGGAAATACAAAGAAAAGTAAGCAAGTCAAGACAAATTGAAGCTTTCCTGAGTCATGAGTCATGAATGCTTAAAACAATTTATTTGCACCCAAGGAAATGGGATGATAGAAGGAGCTTTGCTATTCCATTGTTAAAGCGTAATTAACCAATAGATACAATTATTCATAACAGCACATAAAGCCACGAACGTTTATTTTTGAGCTCATTAAAACACAATTTCTTGCAGCTTTCCTCTTGAAAAGACAACTGACATCCAGGAGAATCTCCCCATTACTTCCACGAGTGATAGGTCGAATCTAAAACTTAATGAGATACGCCTCTTGGATAGCATGATTTTGCTCTCATCTTCGTGATCCCATTATTGTCTACTTAACTAATTGCTAATCGGTGACATACTGTCAGCCACAGCGGGAAATTGGGACATTTTCTGCCTTGGTGTAAATTGCAATAATAATAATAAGAATATACTGATTACCGGGCAGTTGATGAGTATTGAGCTTTGCATTTGTTTTACTTTCTCATTTGTGCATTTCTAGGCAATAATTGAGGCTATTTTGCGCTCTATTACATTGTGCGTGTGTGCGCGTATGTGGTGTGTATTCTCCTGCCAATCTGGAACCTGGGATTTCGGGCATGTGGATCGTAAAGGGAGCAGTTGCAAAAGCATAGAATCATACTTTCTCGGAGTAATTTCATATACCTTCCATAACTTAATTGACCATTGACGAAATTGCGTTTTTTATTCTTTATTGTTCACATTCTTTATGCGTTCTTGCATCACTGGGAAAGTTTATGGTGCAATCACTGTGGCGTGTGTATGATTACGTCGGTGACTGGCCCCCTCCCCTCCCCTACGGAGATCCACATTTTGTAAGTGCAATCACTTGCACTTTCTTAATAGGCGGCCTATTTGGGATCTGTGACGTTGGTTAGACTCTTTCGTGTGTGTGTGAAAGAAAAAGATAACTTCACAAAGTTGCCTTGTTAGAATTGTTTTTATCCCTCCTTCTATACTCCCACCTCAGGAATGCGAATTTGCAATAATTAACTAGAATCACGACAAGAGCGTGGCGTATGCTAACTTGACATGGAATCAGGCGACTATGATCTGAAAGGAGTTTTAAAAGACCATTAAAAAGTGCTAAAACACATGAATCGAGTAGAATAAAAGTTTTCTGATCATATTGCACAGAAAATTTATACATTAGTCTCTACTCTGGTGCACATGCATGTCAGCCAACTACCGATGTTTATAATCATCCATGTAGGTGACCTGACTTGTCAAATATTGTCTTTCTAACTTGACTAAGTTTCACAATTTACCTTTAAACATATGATTATGTAAACACTGAAATAGGACCAAATTCGGACAAATTATTACTATCTAGAGTATTCATTGTGCAATATTGCTATATTGTCTCTGTGTATCCAGTGGGTAACCACATTGGAGCAACCTTGCTCACTTACTCCACTTGAGGTCTTAATCATTCAAAGTGCGAAGAAGATGTTTGGGAGGCGTTTTAAAAGCTTAAAAATCACTTCTACTCCAACAGTAAAGATGTTTCCTTCATTTAAACTACAAATTATACTGATAAGAATATATATACTTGCACTATTTTTGGTTTTCACGGTTCAATATCCATTTTTCACTATTGTGGGGATGTCTCAGTTTTTAAAGGTCATCGTTTTCAATTGCTTGAAAGAAATGTTTAAGTTGGTTAATGCCTGCGAACACGTGCATATTGGCAGTACTTTATCGTTGCTGAGGGTTGACGTAAGCAAGAATTTACGTCACTGGCTACCAGTGCACCCAAATTTGATTGTGAACTTTGGCATACTAATTGGGTTCATTGTCATCCCCGTGTAGCCTCTTTAATTTATGACTCTCTGTTGGCAAACGTAAGTTATCGTTGAACCACGTTGGTCCCCCCCCCCACACCCCCTCCACACACACTCTTGTGATTTTGAGGCAAAAATAAGTAATAAATCAACATTAGACCTAACTTTTCAATCCTTTACTAAATAATGGCGTTTTTTCAACTTTTATCTGAGAAGGTTTGGGACTCTGATTTAAATAATGATCCCTTACATACCTCCAGGTCCAAAAATGGTGAATTTCATGCCATTATATTGTGATTCAGGTCAAAGGAGGTCATCAAATTATGTCATATTTTGATAAGATTTCGCACACCTTTTACCTGTATTTTTTTCTTCCTTCACATTATGGAAATGTGTTGACTTTAGTAGAAACAATTTTGGCATTCTAAGCTGAAAGGGGGAGTCAGTTGTTCCACCTCTAGGTGTCAGGCGCTGTCATCTATTTATTTTTGAAGGATTATTGTTTTCTTCTGCATTTCCTCCCCCCCCCCTCCCTCCCTCTTACTGAAATGACCTTGAAAATGCCAAAATAGCTGATTTTCAGAGTTCTCCTCCTTTGACGCCAGTACGAATTTACTTAAAAGCCGTTGTTGACTAACATCAATACCCGAAAGAAGGTCTGGTACCTCGTATTTTAAAAATTACCCAGAAAATAAAAAAATTCTTTCAAGTAAGGGGTCTTTGCTATGAAGAGTCTCTTCAATGAAATCAACTTCTCTATGAAGTTGGGTTATAAATGCAAATTCCTCAGGGCAGCGAAAGTGAACTTTAGTGTGAATTCTGATATTATTGGTTCTAAATCGGTGCACTTCTAATTACTGAAAGCACAAACCAAACCTCCTATTGTCAGCATGCGCATTTTGAAAATATATTTGTTAATGCTATCTTGACTTCGTTAAATACTTATTACTTTCTTCAAAATTCAGGTCCCAGGCATTGGCTACGTGACAGAGTGTAAATTGAAGGCGTTCGGTGTGGAAATGATAGTGGATTTGTGGAAGAAACGAGGCGCTCTCTACCACCTCACATCTCCCACGGCGATGCACTACTATATGCGTATCACCCTTGGACACTGCGAGGATGAATGGGCTGAAGGCGAAGGACCTCATATTGCGGGTTTCTCAGGACATCGCTCCTCTCATCAAAAGAGCATGAGTACTGAAAGGTAAGCATGGAACTGTGGTGGATTTATATCCATCCTACATTCGGTTGAATTTTTTTTCGCCGAAACACAGTACTTGAACTTAACTCGATTTATTATAAAAACCAGTATTCATAACGTTTGTGGTTGCATTTATGGCATAAATTCAAACTGAATTCGCTTTATTTGCGTATTTCAGGACATTTCAAGACTGTTCGGATATGGATACTCTACTGGCGAAATGTCGAAAGCTATGCGTTTCGCTCGTCAAAGACATGAACGAGGCTCATGTAAAAGTAAGCAAGTGTTGTTAATTATACATTATATCGCCTATTTATACAACCTAGTTCACCGACCCCCCCCCAATCATTGGAGATGTTGCTATGAATCATACCTACATATCCAACGCTTAAAATAAGGTTAGGTGGCTTATGAGCGTTGAGATAAACAACCACAGATCGGTTTGACTCTTATTTATTAGTAGAAAGTTTTGCATTTCAGTCACTGGCATAGAAAATCAATAAACAATAAGGTAACATATGTGGGACGCAGTATATGAAGCTCTATTTATAGTGCCTCCTCAGTGTCAACTCTCGAAGATAAGCTTAATGCGGATCACATTGTGCCAAGTTGTGCCAAATTGATCAGCTGTGCGCAATGTGAAGAAGCCTCTTAGGGGTCAAGCGCACATTCATTTAACTGAGTCCCGATAGCTGTTTTCCTGCACGGACTAGTGAACAATATTCCCATCCACGTGATAAAAAGTCTCTTGAGAAATTAGGCAAAGATTTACAAGATCTTATTGAATAATTTACAATGATGCCTGACCTAGGCTTTTTCCAATGATTGCAGTTTTGAATGCGCCCTTTCTATCGAGTTGATATGTTTTCTTTTGAAGGTACTCACGCGAGTTTTTTATCGATTCAAGTGAATAATTCCTTTGTAATCTTTCTGCTTTTTGTTGATTTTGCAGCTTAAATATGGGCCATTTTCTCAAGGCATTAACTTTTTTCTAAAATTTGGGTGATCTCATTTTATCTCAACTGAGGCGGGAGTTGAAGCTGTTTAGGATGAAGTATCACAGCAGCCTCTTTTGAGAACGTTTTTTTGCCGGCAAAAATTTCAATCAAGTTGAAAATGAGACTATTTTAGATTGCTAAAATTGGAAATGTTCTGATGTGATCAACATGAGTAGTTTATTGCCTCTTTTGAACTTAATAAGAAGAGACTGGCTCTCGGAATCTCCAATTAGTCTCCACGTTGATTCTAAAGGAACTTTTTGAAATATGCTATAAATATTTGCCGCATGCTTACTGTCAAGACCAGTTATTGACGAAATGTCATGTTCGTTTCGATAAGTAAATCACATTGACTTTCAAGCAAATTAAATTGTAATTTATTAATTGACTGATTGGGAAAACTTTGTTTCCTAGGGTTCTGTGACTAGATTTATCTACTTTAGAGTCATATTTAAAAGTCATACTATTTGCTTGTTTTAATTTTATCTGTCTTTACTAGTCACTGCTTTTTAAGGCGATAGCTTTTGTTCATAAAGGAGGTGACTATCACTGCGTGATTGTAACCGACCTAGAACTTGTTCTCTTTCCGGGTTCACTCACCTGCATCATTCACGACACGCTGGCGTGACAAGTCTTGAAAGTATACAAAGCGCATCCAAGGGACATTTGGATAGTCCTCTACTCACTATTTAAGGCATAACTCTGCAGTTAATTATGTAATAAGGTCATGAAAATCATTATTAGAGCTCGGATTTAAGCCATCTTCTAGTTACATGCAACAGGTTGTGAAATTGCACGAATTGTAGTGTCGAGCATTTTTTTCCTGTTCAATTTTGATCTGCCATCTAATTGGTAACGTCTTTCAGAGAATATGAAGAAGGTTTTAAAGCAAGTTCTGCTCATTCAGAGTACTAATTTAATATGAATGATTCGGGTTTCCAACCCGAAATACGACTATTTATGTTATACTTGTACTTGAAGAAGCTAGACACCGGAAATCGACTAACTCATTTAAATGATTATGTGGATAGAGATTTTGGAGTTATGAGTTCATTTTCAAAGTTGTACTCAATGTTAATTAACCAGGGGTTGGGTTAATAGAGGGGTTGTTCCTCTTCCTCCTTGCCTTCCAATAATCGAGGCAAAAATTGCCTAAATCAAATTCATCAGACACTATGGGAGGCGGGTGGGGGGGGGGATTTAGTCGCGAAGGTCCAAATTATGTTTAATAGTTTAGCGCAACGAGTATACGATTAGGGGAAACAATGGATCTCTAGGGCTTATCCGCTCCTTCTTCTCTAACTTGTCAAAAATATTTTCAGGGTAAAACTGTAACAATGAAACTCAAGTTGGACACGTTTGAAGTTCGATCGAGATCTCAAACTCTGCCTGACTATACATGCTCTATTGACATAATCTTCCAATGTGCCTCAGAAATCCTTAAAGATGAGGTGAAAGCTGAATTGGCAAACAATTCAAAGGCTCTCACTCTTCGACTCATGGGTAAATATCAATTTTTATAATGCCTACTATTTCATGTCATATAGTTTGTTATCTACTGTTGACGATTCTACCTCTTCTATGGCTACTGTCATCTCGTGTCTTGTAGGTGTTAAGATTTCGAATCTTGTTCCCTCAGCGATGTGCCAACAGTTCCGACAAGAAACTCTAGAGTCTGCCTTCGATAGGGGTTTCAAAGGTGCCAAAGACGAAGAAAAATGCGAGGTACACTAAGTTGGATTTTTTAACAAACCTTATTATTTTAGAGGTCAAAACCATGTCCTACGAGTTCAATTCCATTTTTTTGTGAAAATATCTGACGCCTTTAATTTAGTCCAATTTCAATGTCATTGCTAAGATTTTCTGCCCTAAATGCCCTTAGGATTGAGCTGTCTAATTATTCTTTTGTTGGATAATTAAATTGCAGATAGTTGTGATAAAATTCCTTCTACTTCGAAGGAGAAATTGAATTGAGGCTAATTAACTATACACATGAACGATGCACGAATTTCTTCGCTTGAGATATCTAGGCAACAGGAGCTTATATTCTTCAGGTTGTTTCAAAACATCTCCAATTCCAATTTTATACTCTTGACACTCATTCGACCCCCGTTAAAAGGGAATTCTTATCCAATGGTCATTTTATGAGGAACATAAGTAACTCAGACACTTCGGAAGGAAAATTCACGGTATCCAGTACCTTTTCTGATCGGGTTTAGTCAATACTTCTGGTCGCGCGAAGTTGAGTATCGATCTCTCTCTCTCTCTCTCTATTAACTACTTATTTCCTTTTGTTTTACTTTAACTCTTAAAATTTCCTTTAATGGGGTCTCTAAATGAAGCAAATTTGAAGCAAAAGTCATGCTAAAATTTCTTCATTTCTTAATGTGTGTGTTTGTGCGTGCGCGCGAAGACCCCGTTTATAACAATGAGGGGGTGTGTACACCACTTGAAGCCATTATTTTTATTTGTCAAACTAGTCAGCCATGCTTAGGTAACTACGTAATCAAGCTTAACAAAGCCCATGGTTTATGTGAAGTAGGGGGTTTATTGCCAAAGACTGCTTTTCTTAAATCGGTTTTTAACTCGTAATTTATGAACGTTTCATTTCATTGGTTAATTGTGATAATATTTCAATGTAGTTCTACCACACTCGTCTAGACTTGGTAAAATAGCTATGTCTTGACATCAAAGATACTCTGCGATAATTTTCGAAAGTGCAATCTATTCTTAACTAATGATTATATTCCAAATCCCACTCCAATTCCATGACCTTGACTTTGGAAGTACCCCTACCTTCAATTTCCCTGAACCCTACTGTTTACTTTTACAGGAAATCCCGAACACATCCATCCCGGAGACGACCTCATCAATAATCACGACTGTGAAAGAATCCACCTCCGCCAATGAAGACAACGAATTCTCCACCACAGTATGCCCAGTGTGCTCAAAAGAGCTTAAACTAAAGGATCTTGAGCAGGTAATTGATTTTAAGTCTCGCTATTTAATTAGCCCTTTTGCCTAAGAGATCTGTTTCTTGATCATTTGGACGCGTGATAGGGAGATCAAATGAGTCTGGGTAGTAAGAAGTCGATTCTCAAATGAACTTATGATACTAAATAAGTCAAATATGAGCTAAGATGATAATTAACTGATGAGATCGAGGCACTATTGTCTGCTGATTCGGTTAGAAAATTGAAGCACGCCATTAATGCGCTTCCTCTTTGACTATCCGCTTTCCAAAGAGCGCTCAGTTGTACCCACGGGAGGGTGGGGGGGGGGGGGGGGGGGGGGGGGGGNGGCTGGGTAGATCATGCTTGCACTTTGCAGTCCGGTTTTTTTCATGGCTATCCAGTGGTCCAAGTATGTGTGTGGTGACTTTCCATTGATAATGTTTGATAATTTAAATTAAGGATGAACAAGTGAACATGCAAACGGAAGTCCGCCACAATAATATGAATGGAAAAACACTGGATTATCTCACCAGAATTTGTAGGTGGGGTGTTAAAAGTAGTTATTAGTGTTGTTAATAATGTGCGAAGAGTCAATTGGCGCACTATTTGAAATAGTAACATCAATCAGTTTGTTAACTCATTAGCTCCTGCATAATTATTTGGCTTCAACTATCTTCCATTCCATCAATGGATGCTGACTACTGGAATAGCAAAAGGACCGTCAGATTTATCTTTGTTTTCAAGTTCTTCTGTACTTCACGGGATCCAATGAGCCAGTTTTAGTTGTAATCATAAAACTCAGGTTAAACGAATGAATATTAGCAAACCAATACTATAGTACGAGGTTTACCACGAACAATTTGAGGCCCTAATAACTTTATTTTCTTAGGATTAAAGATGATGCAAAATTAGGGTTTCAATTAACCTTAAACACATGCTTAAATCGATTATTGCTCATTTGCTTTTCTTGTACTTAGATGAACGACCACTTGGACACTTGTCTAAGTCGGCAGACGGTGCTGGAAGCGGTTCAGGAGACGTTTACCTCACCTCAGCCAAGCACATCAAAACCCCCGTCCGTCGCAGTGAAACGACCAGCACGACCGACTGGCTTTGGTGGTCCATTAGACAAATACTTCAGGATTGAATGATGCATTTACAGCTTTTACTTTTTTTACACATTTTGTAGCTAGTATCTTTCCAAGCAATAAAATTGTGCACATATTCTCATTAGTAAGTCTTCCCATACTTATAATACCCACAATAAAGGCACTCAATGTGTGTATATAAAAGACGCAAGTATTGACGTGCACAGTTCTTCGGTTACTAATGTGACTATAACTTCATTGGATGTGAAATTTGCTCGTTGCTTAAGAGCGCCACAGGTGAATTTGAGGTCAGTTAGTGTGTCTCGGGGGATCATTTTAGTTGACTTGCTTAATCATATCGGGTTTGGCATACATGGGCAAGAGATCGTAGTTGTTAGCAATGAAATCGATTGTCCTCTTTTCAATTTCAACTTTGTGACTCCTGCGCAAATGCTCGAGGTGTATTCTCTCAAGCGTTTCCTCTGGCACCTCCTGAAATGGAAAAGGACACCCGTGTTATGCATCTTCAAACGAGTTAGGATCGGGTCGGGATAGCATCGTGTATATTATCTTAGTGGTGGAGAGTACAAATAGGTTACCACGTTGAAGTCCACTTTTTTTCTAGCTCAATTTTTAGCCGTTGGTCCTGACTTCAGTGCTCTTAGATGCACACAAATTCTACCCAACTTCACCAATGAATTGATTTGAAATGCATGGATATGCTTAAGTAGCCCTCCCCCCCCTCCCACACACACACACACACACACACACACACACACACACACACACACACAC